TTTAACATCATTGTTGTCGTTAAGTGCCATGGAGCCAGTTCCTGCTCATAGTGACCCACTATAGGGTTTCCAGGGAGTGTTTAAGAGCCTCTCAGAAGTGAGGATTTACAACACACAGGAGAATTGCATCAGATTGGGCTGATCACATCAGACCATGGCATGGGGTTGATTGATTACATTACAGCTCACCACGGAGGCCATAACTATATCTCAACAGCGTAACCACTGAGAATCCTGGAGCAGCCAAGTTGACACAAAATGGTAACCATCACAGCCCACCCCTTAGTACCTGTATTTGCTGTTGTTGTTGCCGTTGAGTTGATTCCGACCCATACAGACCCTGGGTAGGGTTTCCAAGGAGCAGCTGGTGAGCTTGAACCACCAACCTTGTAGTTCAAATGACTTTGCAGTCTGACGCATTAGCCCAGACAACTTCAATCTTTTCTCCATTGATAAGAATGTTGTTTATTGGTCTAGTGGTGACGATTTTTGTTTTCAGTACATCATTTGATTTCTTGACTACTGTTTCCATGAGTGTTGATAGTTGCTCCAAGAAAAATGAAGTCCTTGACAACTTCAGTCTTTTCTCTGTTGATGAGAATGTTGTTTATTGGTCCAGTGGTGAGGATTTTTGCACTCTATATTATCCCAAAATTGTAAGTCCAAATTTCAGTGTGGGACAAAATTCCTTTTCATCTATGCATCTAGAATACATGTTGTTGTTAAGTGCCGTCGAGTCGGTTCCGACCCATAGCGACCCTGTACAGGGTTTCTGAGGGTGTAAATCCTTATGGGAGTAGAAAGCCTCATCTTTCTCCCGCGGAGCGGCTGGTAGTTTCGAACCGCTGACCTTAAGGTTCGCAGCCCGATTCGTAACCACTACGCTACCAGAGCTCCTTAGAATACAAGTTAGCTGCTTCTAAATACTATGGGGGAACAGGTCAAAGGTAGACAGTTGCATTACAAACAGGATCAATGGATGGAATGAAGAATAACAGCCCTGAGCAAGTTAAACATCCAGCAAGACAATGTACAGTAGCTCTCAAGACTTGAAAACATTCCTCTGTTCTTTAGGCCATCTAGGCAATGGTGCTGCCTTCCCTTCCAGGCTCCAGGTGTTGGCCATGCAGTCTGCATCTGGATAGAGGGCCCTCAACTCTGGACTTCAGCTCTGCCTTCCAGGCCCACTGGGTAGGCAACTCTGCCCCTTGGCTTTGGGAGAGCACAATCTCCTAGTCCATCTGCATGGTGACCCTACCCCCTCAGCTATGGCAGGTCATGTTCTTCTGCCATTGCTTGACATTCCTACCTCATCATCTTTGGGCAGAGGCCCATCTTAAAGACAGTCCCACATTCCAGAATTATGCTGGCAAAGAAGAATCCACTTTTTGAAACCAGAAGCTACAGCCTCACCCTTAGAATCTCCAGAAGTCATGGTTCTGCCCTTCAAGACCATAGAGGTCAAGGGCCTACATTTTGACACTGAGGCAGCTCTATTTCCTGTACTCCTCGTCTCTCTTCTGCTTCCTGGTTCCTTGATCTCTAGATGAGGCCAGCCTGGTCTACGTCTTTGTCTCCACCATCTGCTTCCTTTACCTGACACTTTTCATTTTATTGATAGGTTTTCTGTAGATGTTGGTTTAATTTTTAGGGAATATTATTTTAGGAGGCTGCTTTTATCAGGAGGATCATGCTACCTTGGTATTACAGACGTGCTTGAGAATGATACAACAAAAGGCAGTGGAATCAGGTTTCATGTTTTTGTTTTGTTTTGTTTTCATGTTTTTGTTTTGTTTTGTTTTCTACTCTGATCACACAAACACTTTCCTTCCCCTCCAGAAAACACGGCTGCCATCCTGTTGATTCTGCTGAATATTGACCCTAGGAGACAAAGTGTCCAACTGCCCCATAGGACTTCTAAGGTTATGTTTGTTATACAATATAAAACCAGGGTGCCACATCTTCCTCCCATGAGCAGCTAGTGGGTTTGAACCACTGAACTTCTGACCTTTTTTTTTTTTTTTTATTGTAGCCTGCACTCAACCACTATATCATCAGGGACTAGCCAGAAAGATTTCAATAGGTTGTTCATTATCAGTAATCACTTAAATAAGTTTTGTAGCAAATATATTACTTGAGAAAATCTATGTATCCTCCTAAGATTTTATATAAATTTGTTAAGTATGTCATGCAAATTAAATGGAATTCTTTACCTTTCCAATAAATTAAGCCAATTCACACATTCTCTTCTTTTGTCTGGCATCCATTTGTCAGGAATCCTAGTATGGTGCTGTAGGATAAGCATTGGACTGCAAGGTCGGTTTGAACCACAAGGTGGGTGTTTCAAACTCACCAGTCGCTCCACAGAAACCCTTTACAGGGTCACTATGAGTCAGAACCGGCTCAATAGCACTTAACAACAACAATCATTTGTCAGAAAAGGAAGCAGTCACATGGTTTAAGGCTTGTTTGACAACCACTACTGGTTGTGATTAAGGGGAGGTAAAGAGAGCATATTAGCTCTCTAAAGAGTCTTTGAACCTTTGCCTGTTGGTTTAAAGACTCCTCCTCCCAGGTGGCAGCACAGATGTGTCATGAACAAGATTTATGCGTTTTTGAGTTGTTTGACTGAGAGTAAGATGGTACAGTGTGAAAGGAGAAGCACGTACCACAACATCAGCTTGAACCACAAGCTACTCCTTGGAAACCCTATAAGGTCACTCTGAGTCCCAACTGACTTCACGGCACTTAACAACAGCAAGGAGATGGCTTGTTGCAAACACTTCTTCTCTCTCTCCGTGGTGTCCTTTTGTGGCTTGTGGAGTCAGAGTTTTATCTGTGGCTTCTGAGATCACCCTCAGCATTTCTCTGTTGGAAAATGACTCCTGGCTATAGAAATGGACTGCATCCAATTGGCCCTGTCAGTGCCATTTCCTAACCGATTGAGTGGATGGATTTCATAAAAGAATATTCATTTGCTTGATAATACAATCAAGCATGTTTTCTGTTTTTTTTTTTTAATGGACTTAAATATCTTCTTGCATATTTTTTAAGGTACTGCAGACAACAAACTTTTTACAGTAGCTCAGATATAAAAAGGATGATACAGGAAAAGAATACGCAATGTGTACCATTTATTAATATTGTAGGAACAAGCTGAGCTCTTGAACTCTGTTTGTCTTTCATAAAGCTTTCTTGTTGTTGTACTTTTATCCCCAGAGATTCATTTAGGGGACCTGTTTACTTTTAAAGAAGCGGTTATGATAATAACAGTAGCAATAATAATAATAGTAACATCAACAAAGCTATGACGACATTTTGGAAGAACATTTCTAGTCATGTTGTCTCTTCTCTAGTAATTGGACTGAGTGTTGTACTGAGTCTGACGGCTGAGTAGTGTGCAAGGCATCACTCAGATATATTGCAGGTGTGGTTCCAGACTGCCACTATAAAGGCAAGATCAGTATAAAGTGAGTCACATGAACTTTTTGGATTTCCAGTACCTATAAAAGTTTGGTTCACGGAGAGAAAGAGCAACTGAGGATTCTAGTCTCATGGAAAGAGAAAGACTGAGTGCTGGTGGCCAAGAGGCAGGCTTGCAGAATGTGCCCTTTGGTTGTTTAAAATTATTATATATTCCTGAGTGTTTTGATGTATGTTCCCCCCGCCCCAAAACAAATCCCCAAAAAACAACAGAGGGAAGAGAAGCAAATACTACTGAATGATGATTGTAATCATTGCAATAAAACGATGGTGTAAAACCGATGTTCTCCCATGTGAACTATCAGTCAGTTCACAATAAAAAATAAAAAACAAAAAAACCTCTGATTGCAAGGAAAGATGAAGGTAGTAGGAGACACAGGGAGGAATGCAATAGATAAAGTGAATAGAGGTAAATACTGGTAACTGCTGGTTAATGGAGGGGATTGCAACCATGTAATGAAACAAAGTCTAGGATTTGTTTAATATAAACCTGTTGATCTACTCTGTAAACCTTCACTCAATTCACAGTAAAAAGTGCTATCGGAAAAATGGTGCTGACAGACTTGTCCCCTGCGGGCCACAGTCTTCACTTTGTAAAAATAGTACATTATTTGTGAAGCACACTAAAAAAGAAAAAAAAACACAGTTTAATGAGATGTGTCTGTATTGGACAGTATAGAGAGTGTAGAAAATCTGCTTATTATAAATGAGTATATATAGATATATATGGAGTCCTGGCATGGTGTTGTAGGACAAAGCACTGGACCTCAAGGTCAGTTTAAGCCACAAAGTTGGTGGTTCAAACCCACCAGCCGCTCCTACAGGGCCACACCAGGACTCTGATTTTAAATCTATGTATATGTGTGTGTGTGTGTGTGTGTGTGTGTATATATATATATATGGAATCAAGTACCATTTAAAATATATTTTTTCATAAGCTTAGAAAGCGTGTAACTTGGGTTGATGTATTTCAGACTGTATACACGGATACATCCATGTAGGAATCCTGGTTGGCACTGTAGGATTAACACTGGACTGCATGGTCGGTTTTAGGTATAAACAACTAGCTATTGCTGTAAGTTGGAACTAACCCAGTGAAACAACAACAATGTATTTATATATGTGTGGTCTTTATATAATACATGTGTATATATCTATGTTTAGACATCTATGGAAGGAAATCTTTTTAAAACCTTCTTTTAAACAGTTCTATGTATGTGGCACTGTGAGTCCTGATATGGCACTGTGGGTTAATGCACCAGACTGCAAAGCCGTTTGAACTGTAAGGTCGGTGGTTCAAGCTCACCAGTTGCTCCTTGGAAACCCTATACAGGGTCACTATGGGTCGGAAACGACTCAATGGCCCTTAACAACAACAACAGCAATGTGTAAGAACACCAGAGCTATCACTTGTGGAATATTGCCACGTAAACTCAGATGATTTCATTTGAGTTGTGTGTGTGTTTGCAGTTTGGTGGGACTTATCACTCATGTTCTCCTGCCTTCCTTTTGTTCAGAGAATTTGGGTGGAGAGACCCGGAGCTGCCGGAAGTCATCCAGATGTTACAGCATCAGTTTCCTTCAGTCCAGTCTAATGCTGCCGCCTATTTACAACACCTCTGCTTTGGAGACAATAAAATTAAAGCCGAGGTAAGTGCTCCTTGAGTTCTCAAATGATTGACGTCAGATGTCACACTTACTGTCTCAGTTAGGTAACACTGCTGTAACAGAAGTAGCCACGAGGGGCTGGCTTTAAGAAGCAGGAAGTGTATTCTTGCACAGAATGATGGGCTAGAAGTCCAAATTTGGGGTATGGGGAATGTTTTCTCATTGTCAAGTCTGAGGGAAGGTCCTTGTCTCTTTGACATCTCTTCCTTTGTTACTTGGTGATCTTCATAACGTGTAGCATCTGTCTTCCCCATTTCTGCCCTCTTGTTTACTTGTTTACTCTCTTCCATAGCTCCAAAGAAGGAGCCTTGGTCGCATAGTGGGTTACATATTGAGCTGCTTACTTCAAGGTCAGCAGTTCAAACCCTCCAGTCACTCCATGGGAGAAAGATGAGGGTATCTGCTCCCTTAAAGATTTACAGCCTTGGAGATACTATGCAGGGTCAGTATGAGTTCCAATCAACTCCATGGCACATAGCAGCATATCTCATAAGAAACCAACTCAAGACACACCCTACACTAATAATGTCATATTAAAGCGACAAAGGAAACCCTTTCCTGAATGGGATTATAACCACAGGCATAGAGGTTGGGATTTATAACAGAATTTTGGGGCGGGGGCACACAATTCAATCCATAACCATTACTTATGTTTTTTAGAGTAATGCCAAAAGGGAAAAGAAGCATGAAAGCTAAGGTTGTATTTTCAAAATGCTGATCTATATTTAAGATGGACACATACACTTTCCATCTAATTAACTCTCATGCTGATACATACATGCTTCCTATTCAGATGTTTGAGAGCTGAGGATCCGTGGACCCAGAACACACGCTAGTACTGCCATGTTGGCTTGTCACGGAGTGCTGGCTTGGTCAGATTTACCTTGCTCTTGAGGTTCAAACCAGCCTTGGGGTCGAGTGCTTATCCTCCTATCGTCTCTTTTCTGTAACCTTAATGAGCATATTTGCTAACAAGTTCTTTGTTTTAATATAAAGCACCTTTTACCCAACAATTCATGGCAGCCACCTCCCACCTTACCACCCTTCCATCCCTACTGTTTTGGAACACACAAACTTGATGGTGTCCCTTTCCTGCTTAAAGCCCTGAAGTGGCTCCCACTGCCTTTGGATAAAAAACAAAACAAAACAGACTATTCTCATGACTAAGGAGTTCTGGTGGCATACTGGGTTGCATGTTGCACTACTACAAGGTCAGCAGTTCAGATCTGTTACTGGACAAAAGCCCGACAGCCAGCCACTGTGGTTAGTGTCAGAGATGGGTGAGAATCAACATCCATTTTAGTGACAGTGTTAGAATGCTGCCTTCCCTTCCTCCGTACAGCCCAACTCTCTCACCCCTCTAGGGGTCAATCTAGCTGCTTTATTAAAATACTTTTCTCCAAGTTTTATGCCTCTTTCATCTGGGATACAGTCTGTGTCCCCCTGAGTCATTATGAGTTACATCCTAGGACATGATTACCCCAATGGCCTTTCTGAGAACCTTTGTATTAAAGTTACATTCTTTTAAGGGATGAGAGATTGTGGACCTCCCATAGTCCTCCAAGCTTGTCTTCCTATTGTAGATTTACATCAACGATACAGCACTAAATCCCTAGTCTGTATGTTCCTGGTAGGAGCTCTGGTAGCATAGTGGTTATGAATCGGGCTACTAACCTCAGGGTCAGCAGTTTGAAACTACCAGCTCTTCTGCAGGAGAAAGATGAGGCATTCTACTCCCGTAAAGATTTACAGCCTCAGAAACCCTGTGCAGGGTCACTATGAGTTGGAGCCGACTCCATAGCACATGACAACAACAACAAATGTTCCTGGAGACATCCTGGTGTGGCGTTGTGGGTTAATGTGCTGGACTGCAAAGTTGTTTTGAACCACAAGGTCAGAAGTTCAAGCTCACCAGCTGCTCCTCGGAAATCCTATACAGGGTCATTATGAGTCAAAACCGACTCAACAACACTGAACAACAACAGCAACATAGGTTCCTGGGGTGCAGGTGAAAGGTTACTCAGGGCAGTGATGATGGGGAACAGCAATTAAAATGGTTTGAACAGATAGGAAAAAAATGCTTATTAAAAAGTCTTCTCTCAAATTCACCAGCTGCTGTGCAGGAGAACAATGAGGCTTTTTGCTCCTGTCAAGATGTATAGCCTTAGTAGCCCCACACAAGGTCCCTATGAGTGCACACAACCACCACCACCCTTCCCATGGCTCCTGGGCCTTGCTGGACTTGACAGGTTCTTGCCTCAGCATCGTCCATGGCTCTATTGGCTGGCCACACTACAGATGGTCAGACCTGCATCCCACTTCTGGTCCTGACCCTGTGGCCCCTCTCTCAGCTTCCCAGAGTGCATTCATTATTGGGGGTGACACTTCTGAAATAGCACAGTGGTCTCTGTTGCTAGCTCTGATATTTTAGACCAAAGACTAACATTTGTATACAAGTGCCTGAGTAGTCAAAATTAAAAAAAAAAAAAAAAGAAAGGCTTTTTATATGCTGCAAAGAGTCATCTTCTTAGCAGGCAGGCAATTTTGAAGAAGAGTCTAAATTAGCTGAGAAGTGGAAAGAAAACATCTGAAGATATGATTGCAATTGATGATAGTATTTGCTTGCTCTAGCAGCCTTTTTCATTTCTGTCTCTCTTCCACTGGGACCACAAAGGACACGGATTATGTTTCTCCTTTTCAGAAAAATTCTATTTCTTTATGGTATTAATATAGAGCAGTTGTTCTCAACCAGGTCGGATTGTGTTTCCCAGGGAAATTCAGGAATATCTAGAAACCTGCTGGATTTTCTTCACTGGGGGTGGGGGTAGGGGTGGATGGGGGTAGGATTGCTACTGCCATCTAGTGGTTATAGATGAGGGTTACCCCAGTAAGTACTAAAATGCACAGGATTGCCTCAAAACATAGAATTATGAAGCCCGATGTGCCAATCATGTCGAGTCTGAGAAATCCTGATGTAAGCATTGGACCGCTAACCTCAAGGTCAGTGGCACAAACCCATCAGCCACTTCTCGGATCCCTTATACAGGGTCACTATGAGTCAGAACCAACTCATCACTTTACAACAACAAAGATAAATTGAAAATGTCACAAAATAGAAACTTTTAAAATTGACCTCAAAACAAGTCAAAGTTCTGGCCTGTTGTCCCAAATGGAAGTTATCTTAGGCATCTTCTAGTTTTCATAGAAAGCAAATGACCATTCCAAACGAATGAACCATGGTCTATGGTTGCTGCTCGTTAGGTGCCATCAGCTGGTCCCAACTCACAGCGACTCTGTATAGGGTTTCTCTAAATCTTTACAGGAGCAGAAAGCCTCATCGTTATCCCACAGAGCATCTGGTAGATTCGAACTGCTAACCTTGTGGTTGGCAGCCCAACTTGTAACCCGTTACTCTACCAGGGCTCCTAATCTATGATTATAATCTTTCTAAACATGACAGCCTTGGTGGCTTCAGTAAAAGTCACAGCACAAGCATTTCATTCCACAGCTGGCCTCAAGTTGGTTCTAAGGCGCAGTGGTCACTGCGGAGTAGTGATGGGCCCACTGAAAATTTGAGTTGAATGTTGAGGCTGCTCACACACCACACACTGAATATTTGTTGTTAGGTGCCGTCAAGTTAGTACCATTATTAATGACCATATGCACAACAGAAGGAAACACTGCCTGGTCCTGGACCGACCTCACAATTATTTGATTTGAGCCCATCCTGCCACCACTGTGCCAATCCAGCTCATTGGGGGTCTTCCTCTTTCTCTCTGACCCTCCACTTTAACAAACATTCTGTCCTTCTCCAGGGACTGGTCCCTCCTTGTAATATGTCTAAAGTATGAGAGGTGAAGTTTGGCCATTCTGGCTTCTAAGGAGCTATTCTGGCACTACTTCTTCCAACACAGATTGGTTTGTTGTTTTGACAGTCCATGGTACTTTTAATATTTTTCTCCACCACCATAACTCAAATGAATCAATTCGTCTACAGTCTTCTTTATTTATTGTTCAACTTTTACAATCATATGAGACGAGTGAAAATACTAGCACTTGGGTCAGGTGTACCTTAATCCTCAAACTGATGTCTTTGCTCTTGAACACCTCAAAGAGGTCTTGTGTAGCAAATTTTCCTAATGCAATATGTTGTTTGATTTCTTGACTGCTGCTTCCATGAGTGTTGATGGTTGATCCCAGCAAAATGAAGTCTTTGACAACTTTAATCGTTCCTCCATTTATCATGATGTTATTTATTGGTCCAGTGGTGAGGATTTTTGTTTTCTTTACCTTGAGGGGCAAGCCATACCTGTGGTCTTTTATAAACGTAATCAGGCATTCAGAGCAGAGTTATCTGGCTCCTAGGCATGTTTTGAGAGATCAAGGAAAAGAAATAAACTTGGGGCTCCAGGGTGATTTCTGCATGTGGGCAGGGATTTGTGTGTTCTGAAACTCTTGTCTCAGGAGGAGCGGTTGAATGTTCTTAGCTGCTTGGCTGGATGTGGGACAGAGTCCTGGTGTGGCACTGTGGGATAAAGCACTAGACTGCAAGGTCGTTTTGAAACACAGGTTTGACAGTTGAAACTCACCAGCTGCTCCTTGGAAACCCTATGTTGTTGTTAAGTGCTGTCTAGTCAGTTCCGACTCATAGCAACCCTGTATAGGGTTTCCAAGGAGCAAGTGGAGAGCTTCAACTGCCAACCTTGTGATTCAAACTTGACTTTTCAGTCCAGAGCATTAGCCCATAGTGCCACATCAGGACTCCTGAAAACCCTATACAGGGTCGCTATGAATTGGAACTAACTCAGTGGCACTTAACAACAACAACAGGTGTGAGACAAAGGAGGAAACAGAGGCAGAAGGCTTAAAAAAAAGCCAAGAGCAGCCAAAAGAAAAAGAAAATGGAGTTGGTGTCTTAATTATTTGAATCACTCGGTAACAGAACAAGCACCATGGCCTGGCTTTGAGGCCTCTCAGTGCTG